TTCAACATTATCATTATATTCATCCATCTCTTCACAATTTTTTTGATATAAACAGTTAACAATAGCTAAATTTATTCCATGATTGTAACAAAGTTGACTTTCAAATGGCATCAAGGTGGCATATTTTTCCATTACGGAAGCTCCATCGTTTATAGTTGAGACAATATCTTCTGAAATGTCAAGTTTTATGTCCTGGACTTTTTTTCTGACAATTGTTTTCAATTTTTCAGCATTACAACTACCTGACCCAACAAAAGTTAATGCAAATTGCTTAGATTTAGTGCCGTCGTGAGTTTTGATATTTAAATATCTCTTGAATGTATTATCAGTCCACTTATCAATTATTGTACTAAATTTCTTTCCCATGACTTAAGACTCCTGAATTTTTAACACAAGTTCATTAAAAACTTCTTTGTAGTATTTTTTAATGTCTTCCCAAACTGTTAATCTAGATTTAGCCATTTGATCACCGCGTGATGACAAATATGATTTAGTAGCAACCGAATTTATTATTTTATTAATTAAAAATCCATCTTTGGCTGTACATGTTGATATTAACAACTCTCTAGACTTTCGAACTGTAAAACTTGTTATTGGACGTTGAATTTTTTGATTACTTGGACCTTCTCTTGATCGTATTCTTTCTTTTAAGAGATATCTATGCCATGTTTCAATTTTAAATGATTCATCAAATTCAATGCTCCATAATTAACAATCGTACAAACTTCATTACAGTTGCCAACTTGACATTTTGCCTGATTTTTACTGATTTTTATAAAATGTTTCCACACTTCACTCATCATTTTCTAAATAAAATTTTAGTTTAGTCAATGTAACCTAAAAAAGCATGTTCTCATACCTGATAGTAGTATTTATAGTACTTCTTAGTATAATTTCAATAGTTACTTGATTAAATTCACAATTAAACTTAAAAAAATTAAAAAGGTAAATTTTGAAAAATTCCAGTAGTAGTGAACTAATTATGATATAAAATTCACAGAAATTGTGTAACTTGGAAATTGAAATAAAGGGTTCATAACAAATTAGATTTTTAAAAATGTGATGATTATTTTAAAAAAAAAAGGCTGAAAAGTAATTTAAATTTTTTTTCCCTATTTGTGTACAAATATTTAGGTAAAAATACAAATCTTTGGGTAAAAATACAAATCTTTGGGTAAAAATACAAATATTTGGGTGATCCCAAATAGTGCTAAAAACTCCAAATATCCAAATAACAAATAATTAGGTTGGACATCCCTATGATATACCATGACTTGTTGCAAAGAAAGACCATGTACATTTCATAGCAAAATCTTATTCATGGTGGCATATATTTACGAAGTGTTTGCAGTTTTTGTACTAGCCTGCACAACCCATCTGAAAAGTAATGAACAGTTTCCATTGAATGAGAAATATTGCTTTTAATATGTTCAATTGGTAATTTCATTACATATTATACCATATCTACACCACCAGCAGTAAATCATCTGAGGTGAAGCATATTGAATCACACTTTAGAACATTATTTACCTTATGATAAACTACTGTTGGATGCAATGTTGCTTGAATTTTGTTCCAGTGAAAAATTTGTACTTGTGTACAACAAAATCTTAATTTCCTGAGAAATCACAAAGGGCAATAACCTCAGTACTACTTAACATATTTTAATTTTCTTTAAAAAACAAGTTTTTGTAACTTATTTGTTACAGTATTAATGAAGCTTCTTGTAATTTCTGTTAGACTTACTAGCTCAGAACTTATCTTATGCCAACCTCTAAATGATAGATTGGTAAATTAATGCCGACCTCATTTTTCCTAATTCCGAGGGTTGACCAATCATTAATTTAACATTTTGATGGTAGGTACACATAAAATATGTGTGTGATCACGCACATACTCTACGCATTCCAGATACTCCTACTTTTAAAAAGAAAAAAAAAGTTTAAAAAACAAGTCTTTATATTAGGATGACTGGTTTTAAACTTAGCATACGGTAAATACTCATGAGATATTTCCTTTTCTTTCTTTTTTTTCAAGAAAAAATAAAATACTATTTTTTTGCAGCAGTTTGAGCGATATCTGCACCATATAATTAGTAACATTAAATTTTTTTTCAATACATTTGTTAGGCCAAGATTAGAACCAGATATATAACCAGTAAATGAATTACGCTTAGAAGTTTACATTTTTTCTTTATTTTTTTTCTATAAGTGTATCCATGTCATTTGCTCTACATTAAACTTCCTTAGATAATTATAAAGATTTCTTCAATCTTATTGAAGTCTTCTTGGCTTAACTGATCAGGATCTATATTTAAAGCCCTAGTAATACCTAAATTTACAGTTGTTTGAACATGTAATGTTTTCTTTTTACCAAGAACAACTCTTGAGTGACTTTTCACAGCATGCGTTCTGAGAGGACTTTTGTTCATAGCCATCAAAGAAGAATTTATTCCTTTATAATCAGTTTATTATCTTTATCTTCATAAGTTTGGCTGCAAGTAAGTTCTCCTGGTACATCATCCTTTAATGGTATTAATTTAATTTTACATTATTGCCATATCTTTCTCCAGGATTAACATTATTACCAATGTTTTTAAATTTCCCAGCAAGCTGTATATTAAATTATTTACACCCTCCTAAAAGCACAAGTGATAATTACTACTTTAGTGAGTATTTTGCAAAAAAAATCTAGTATATATAGTTTACAATAAAGTTTAAAAATTTTATAGTTTACAATAAAGTTTAAAAAAAGTTTCATGGTTAAGTAATAATACCATTTCTTCTTTTTTCATTGTGTGAATTAAATGGATCACAGAAAATTATGTGGATTGTGGATGTTTTAAGTAAGCATATTCTTGGTGTAAGCAAACTGTTGCATTTTCATCAACTTCAATGCTAGAACAACTATCAAGTTTTTTCTACATCATTAAGATTTAAAACTTTCTTGGATTTGACATGTATTTTTAAGATTTAATGAATCTATTTAAAACCCTAATATTTTTCAAAGAGCTCAAAACCTGCATTTAAACTGTATTCTGTTTATAAATATTTATAATTAAAAAAAAAACTACTCAAACCATACCAAAAATAATCCTAACTATACTAAAGCATAAGGTAAAAAGTTAGAGAAAATCTACATTAAGCTAATTTAATTTTTAAAGTTAATCTTAACTGGTCAGATATGTTTTGCATCTTTCTTTTTATTATTATTATTTTTATTTATTTTAAGAATATCCTCAAATAACATAATATTTTCTCAAATAATGGTAAAGTAGTTAAGTTTTGTCAAAATCAATACCTTTTAGTATTTTAACAAACTTCTTTAAATAATTTCTGCTCATATTTTATTTTGCTTTTCAAGTTTTACATAAGGTTCATAATTAAATAAATAATGCTATATATATATCGATAAAAATTGTGGTATATATCATTAGAAGAGAATCCACCTTCAGTAAGTATGTGTTTTTTAGTTGGTTAGTAGTTAGAAGCTATAAAAAAAATTATACAGGCTTAAACAGATGGTCAAAATATTTTGACCTTCTGTTTTATTTATTTTCTATTATATTTAATTGTGTTGAGCTTTGTAAACAGCTTTCTTGTTGCATTTGTTACTAATGGTAAAAAAATGATAACAAGAATGCAGAAAACTATTAGTTTTAGTTAACCTTAACTACCATTAATGTCACATTGCTACATGTCTTGCTTTGCAACCAGCAAAATAAAGCAATTCAAATTTTCTATAGTCATAATAACTCCATGTAATAGATTTAAAACAACACTGACATATTTTTAAAAATATTTACCTATAGTTATTTTTAATATGTTTTTACATCATACAGTGACATCAAAACATGGCAGAAGAATCTAAAATTTGTAAACTGAAACACAAGTTTTATTAACTTTGTGATTCAGATTATTATGTTAAATTCTTTCTTTGTTTTTTTTTCAGCACTATTATATTTTAATTTGTGCAAGATTAAATGTTCAAGTTTTATGTAGGCAAGATTTAGATAAATGCTCTAAATGTTAATAATTGGGCGATTTTTTGGTATGTAATAGAAAAGAATATGCTAAAAAAGTTAAAAAAAAATGAAAATACAAGCAGAAAAAGTCAATCAAATGATGATCATAGCATCAAAAGTCAATCAAATGATGATCATAGCATCAAACTTTATAATGATCAAGGTATGGTCACTCTTCAGGTGAATTTTGATAATAAATTTTGGACTTTGGTTGTAAGATAAAGTGCAGTTGGCACTTGAGTACAAGATAGCTAGTTACTGTGTTTACTGCATTTTGGTTAATATTTATCTTATTACTTTTGGTACCGAGGTTTATATTCATTAGCTATCATAGTTTTAAATAATTTAAAGCATTAAAAGAACCTATTGTTGTTTGTATAAGTTAACATATATTATAAAATATATATTGTTGCCAAGTTCATAGTTCAGCACTTTTTTTATTTGAGTTTTATTGTTAATTTAGAAATGAGTAAACAATTAGAAATTCTATTTTATCCTGTGACTTCCATTTTCTTAGATGAATTATAGGCTAATAAACCTTTTTTTTTTTTTTTTTGCAGTACTTTTTAGGAGCTTACTAAGTACCTTAATTGAGCTCTTTAGAACTATTTTATTTAAAATATTAAAGGCCTGAAACAAAAGTTCAGACAATTGTCATGCTGTGCGTATGTGTAGAACTACTGTAATCTGAATCTACTCTGTTATATACAATAACTTTAGTTTTAATTAAACTATTAAAAAAATAGGTTTTTACTAAATTTCAATTTTTTATTTTTTAAGTTATTAGTGTATAAACTTCGTTTCTTACCAAAAAAAAGTTTATACAACATACTTTTTTTGCTTATTTAAAATATCTCTAATAGTAATTTATTGTTTATTTTTTCGAATTAAAAACTAATTTATTTAAGTTATTGAAGCTTATGTTACTTTTAATACTTATGTTACTTAATAATTCTAATTTTTCTTTTAATTTTAGTTGTGTAAAGTATGTTCCAGAACCAGAAAACACGCAACTTCTTAAATGTGCTTTAGAACTCTATTTGAAATATGAACACTTTCCTGATGCGCTGAATATTGCTATTCAACTGAACGATCTCAACATGGTTAAACAAATTCTTAAACTATGTATGGGAGAGTAAGTTTCAATTTTAAATAAAAACTTTCTTGGTTCACAAATTTATTTTTATAGTTGTTATTTTTTCATTGTTTCATGTTATTTCTTTTTTTATGTAGAAACACATATAAGCACACACACATTTACACTTCTGCTTGTTCGTGTCGCCACTGCCCTATTGTATTTACATTTTTTACACTTTTTAAAAATAATGCTAAATATGTGTGTTTAGATAAGTACTCTAATGACATACTGAAATTGCCTGCTGTCGGGGGCTTCAGTACATACATCAACTATCTTATAGCCTGCAGCCAGTAGGAGTGACACTATATCGACTAAGGGTTTGGGCTGAGGCAGCAATCTGTTTTTTCATTATTATTATTTTTTTCTTTTTATGAAAATGCTTTATGCTATAAGGGTAAGCAAAGGACTATACTTTATATGTCTATATATCATGACCTGATATATATATAACCTGATGCCGACCTCAAAAAGATTGAGGTCAACAAATTATTGCTGGCCTTGCTTTTCCTAACTCCAAGGATTGATAATATATATACATAGAACCCAAATTTTCATTTTGGGTTCTTTTAAAGATTGTGGGGAATATAGATGGCAATAGTTGTTGAAAAATATATTGGCAAGGATTCTACAATGTTTTTTTGAAACATAGGTAAATCCATAAAATTCATAAACCATCAAAAAACAGTTAGATAGGCTAACATAACAGACAAATTTACAGATGATGAAATGTATGAATAAAATATCCAATAGCAAATGTTATCTCCAGGCAAACTTAAACCCCCACAAATCTCTCTGACATAATTTCCAATCTGGCCTAAACAAAATAATGTATCTTCAACTACTGACAAATATTCTATTGACATAGCCAGCAATGTAAACCAAAGACATTTTAATTTCTTTAAACAAATTGAATTGAAAATTTCAATAACAGAAAGATTATGAAACACATTAAACAAAATATTGTCTTGCATTATTACGTTTGTCACACAAATGGCTTGATGATACTTTTTAATCATTAGCGGTGATACCAATATTCAGACAAAGTTTTTTTAATGTCAACTTTTTTGTAATATTTGCTGAACATTTATAAAATAGATACCACCTGATCCTTGCCAAAGTTTTCCAAATGTTTTCTCAATAAGTCACTAGTAAAATGTCCTAATCAAACATACTTATGACTTGTAGTTAGTAAATGTTTTATGACCTTGTTTTTAAGGAGCCATTTTTTCGAACATTTCAGCCAAATTTAAAGAAAGTTTAACCGTTTATCATTGTTTGATGAAAAAACAGCACGATATTTATCTCTATTAAAAATATCTTCATTAAGTGCTTTGACATTAACAATTCAAAAAAAATTTGATAAAAAATTAAATAAAAATAAATATTTGATAAAAACACTGTGATTTCGTCAACTTTTTTTATGGATGGGTGAGTTTTTAAAGCAGCTACAGTCTCATCACAAAGTACTCTTAAACAAGTTGACACATTTTGGCTTTCCATTGGTTTAGGAAAAGTTGCAGTTTCATTAAGTTTAGACAATTTTACAATAGCATCTTTTCAAATTATAAAAACTTTATTTAAGATCTGACCATTTTTTTTTTTATAGATTTACACAAGAAAATACAGATGGTGGATTTTTGGTTTAAACTTTCCATAAACTATGTAGTCTTTTATGTTTTGGTCTAAACTTTCCATAAACTTTTTCATAGTCTTTAGGCCAATGATCATAATTACCTATGCATCCTATGACACAACACTTCACAAGTTTAAAGCAAATTTAATAATAATAATAATAGCTAGAGATTAAAGTGTCACCATTTACAACAATCACAATAGTGATAAAGTAATTCAGAAGCACTGAGAAAGTTTTCTATGAGTTCTTGAAAGTGTCTACAAAAAGTTTGTATTTTAGTCGTTTTTTGAATGTTTCTGAAGTGATTGAAGTTCGTGTGTTTAGACAAGCCATTCCATATTTGAGGTGCATTCATGGATAAAGATTTGGATCCTAGAAATGTTTTTGATAGGCGACAAGTAAGTTGGCAACTGTCTGATGATCTTGTGTTTTGTTTCAAAATTCAGGTTTCCAGAAGTTCGCTATGCAAGAGACTTGGTTTTTAAAGTTTTATTCGTAATAACTGATATTTTATAAACTATTCTTTGATGGATTGGTGACCAATAAAGAGATTTTTAGCAGTTTTTTTGATTTTAAATGAAAAAGAGAATAAGAGACAATGTGTAATAAGCTATTTTGAGTACGTTGGAGTTTTTAAGATTTTTTTTGTAAGAACCTGATAAAAGACTGTTACAATAGTCAAGTTAAGAGTTAACGATGCCACAA